ATGTAGATACTCTGCCCTTCAAAATTCTAATCTTTCAGAAGAAAAGTAAGTGTTCTTCATAAGTCACATTATTTAAAACGTCTATAGTCAGCACAGCAGACACAATGTCACATAGGGAAAGCGACAAAAGCCAAGTTCCTAGATGCCAGCTGAGGGCCAACCTGGGAAGCAGAGCCTTAAAGGTCAGGTCTGCGCCATTTGTTGAAAAGACAAATCTTTCCCCCTGAAAGGTCTTGGTACCCCCTTCAAAATCAACTAACCATAGAGGTTTATCTCCGGACTCCCAGTTTTATTGATTTCTACACCTTATGCCAGTACCTAGCTGGCATTGATTATTGTAGCTTTGTAGTGACTTTTGAAATCAGAAGGGGTGGGTGTTCCAACTTCGTTCTTTTACAATATTGTGTCGACTATTCCAAATGTATTTTAGGATTGCATTTGCTAACACTTCGTTGAGGATTTTTGCATCTATGGTCATGAGAGAAGTGGTATGACCCACAATGCAAATATTTGGATTGTGGTGCCCACCAAATGAAAGCTGAATTAACTCAATATCATGTACAATAATAATTATGGGCATTTCCTTCCATTGAACCACACATACTTAGAGGCTCAAAGAGGCTGCTTCTGGGCAGTTTAACATTCTCAGGATACTTTGTGTCTTGATTATTTCCCTTAGCCACACATGGTCATGAATGGTTCTTTAAAAAATATATGTATAGCCGAAACCGGTTTGGCTCAGTGGATAGAGCATCGGCCTGCAGACTGAAAGGTCCCAGGTTCGATTCCAGTCAAGGGCATGTACCTGGGTTGTGGGCACATCCCAGTGGGAGATGTCGGGACATGTGCCCCAACCAGGCATCAAACCATGACCTCCTGGATCATAGCTTGACACTCAGCCACTGAGCCACACTGGCCAAGCCAGTTTGTCATTTTTTAATATCTTTTTAAAAACCAGCTTTTAGTTTCATTGATTTAAAAAAAATTATTTTCTGGTCTGTATTTCATGAACTTCTAGTCTTTGTTACTTCCTTCCTTCTGCTAACTTTGAACTTAGTTCCTCTTTTTATGGTTTCTTGAGGTGTAAAGATGGGTTGTTTATTTGAAGTCTTTCTGTTGTGTAAATATACACATTTATCACTATAAAATCCCGTCTTAGAACTGTTTCCATTTTTGTTAACTTCAGATA